CTTCAGTATATCCAGCTTGTCCCTTGACTCGTTCGGCTTTTGATAATTTCTGTCTTCTTGTTCTTCCTTTCTTCAATCTTGTCCAGGGTTTCGATAGAGATATATTCCTTATGATGATGCTTTGTGGTGTCCCAAACCTCCTGAAACGTTGAAGTTGGTGCTTCTTTGATCTTTTTTCAGTTGTCCTCTATCGTAGTTTCTTGTTCTTTCAGTATATCCTGTAAAGCTTGGAACCTGTTGTTGAGAGTTTTTTGGATTGGTCGAGTTTGTCATTACGCTGAAGAAAGGCTGTAGTGAACATTTTTAATGCTGTTTGTCCAGTTGTCCAGTGTTTCTTTAGCTTCAGTTTTATCTCGTCAACCACCACTTATTGGTGATCTGAAGCTGTATCAGCTCCTCTCCGGGTTCTTACGCCTTCTATGGTCCTTTGAAATCCTTTGAATCTTTTTTTGATGGGAATACGATCTATCAGTTTGGGGTGGTCCGGTAAGACCCATCTAGCTTTGTGTATGCGTTTTGTGGGAATATAGTGTATTCTATAACCGATTTGTTGAGTGCACATACATTTTCAAACCTATCCCCATTTTCCCTTCTCTCTCCTATTCCATGTCGTCCCATTATATCATCATCATATGTAAAATTCAAACCTAAATTCCAACAGGTCTGGCTGCTGAATAACTGTAGAGTAAAAGTGGAGACACGCACACACTCCAGTTGAAATCAGAACAAGATGATTGGGGTAATAACGGTTCGAAAATTCATCATATATACAAATGTACAAGTTTACCAAAACAAATATTATCACACAGTTATTCAACCAACCATTGATCCCAAAACAATCAATCTAAATTACAATAAATAGCAAAGTGATAAGAAATATATGAAAATTGCCGAACGCTCCAAAAAACAAGTGTTATTCTATCCTGCCTGGATAGATCAAGTTAAAAATGCGTTCCAAATGCTGCTTTCTAACACAAAGTGTTTCAAATTCTGGGAAAGTGCTCCAATCGACAACCAAAATACACAATGCCAGTCAAATCAAGCAACACGGTCAAAGATAGAACAATCAATATGGCAGCAGTCAGAATAATATCAATTAAAACAAATTAGATACAGTTATTATTATTATCATCATTATTATTCACAAACACCTTATGGGTACATAAGTGCTGTGAAGAAACCATTTCGGGTTTCTTCAAAAGTTGCAATAATACACAATTTTCAATAATGTTAACATTACATATGCCTTTATTGTCGTCGTTGCTATCATTGGTGGGCGCATATCTTTGTGATCTCCTCCTTCTTTGTTCTGGATGATGCTTTGATTATCCTGGATCCATGAGATTCCCATCCTACAAGTGAATTTTGTGCTTCTCTGGACAGCATCAGAGCAACTCCCTGAGTGTGTGGAGCATTTTCCCGTTCGTGACCAGAGTACAGCAGCATCTCTCGCGTATCTAGCATTTGTCCAGCTTGCGTTCACTGAATTTCGCTGATTTCAAATACTGACAATTTGTATCTCCTCATTTTCATTGCTATTTGACTGGTCTTCCTGGTCCCTAACATTGTCCAGACGTCCCATGTACCTGTAAAGAGTTTTGCTCTGGTTGTTTGAAGCGACATCGGCCTCGTGACTTCCTAAGAATCTCGGCTTTCATCCTGAGGCGTCATAATTCTTCATTCAACTACCAGAACAGAGTTTATATGGTTTGAATTATTTTTCTGGTTAGTGTCTTTTTAGCCAGTTAGTTTTTCTACGGGATGGGATCGCTAACCCCATGCCCAACCCTCCTCCTTAACCGGGGCTTGGGACCGGCAGTAATTCTAGAAGAGCTACAGGCGGAGTTAGAAAATGGATCTACCAAGAACTTATTAATCATACGGACACTGTTTTGTTGTTACTGTAGCTGTAAATAATTCCCCAAAATCAATAGCTTTCTAAGTGTTCAACATTGGATGCTGACCACGTTGTTTAAGTGGAATTTTTTAACTGAAGGCTTTCGGTCATGCATCCGTACCAGATCACAGCTCCTACGTTCACTAGCTAGCTAAGAACAAACGTTTCTCGATATATTGGTAACGTATCAAATATATCTTTCCTACCTCTTCTCATCTGACTTCTGATTTCTATTGGGCGGAAGAAGTTTCGAATATAGAAGGTGCTACTGGTCGCCAGTTGTCAAACTAGAATGCCAGTCGTATCCTCAGTGGTACGCCCGACGTTATTCGAACACGTTACCTTCCCTCTTCTTCCTTATTTCCTCATCTTTGTTCATTTCCCGTCAGTTATGACAGCCACATCGAAAATATTTGGGAAGGTGACAGTCTTCTACGGGATCATGAACCCCAATTTCCAGTAATATTTTACTCTTTACTTGTCTCCAAACAAATATCCGTTTTACCAGTTTTGCAGTCGGGTGTTTGGCTCGTTTCGCAACAGCTCATACTACACTGAAACATTCTACACTGCTAGTGCTCATGTTACCAGTCCATTCTTCATAATCTTTCTCTCCGGTCAACGACAGAAGGCTTAAAAATGCTACAGGTATTAGGAGTTTGACAACGCCTTGGAACTCAAGTTTCTTATGATCAACGTATGTCAACCCAGTCAAATCAGAATACAGAAGTGAAGGGGTTCGAAGATATATTTCGAAGGCTATCGATATGTCGAGAAGCGTTAGGTGTTACGCACTCATGATTTGGTGCGTATGCGTGACTGAGAGACTTTAACTAGATGTGTCCACCAAAACTAACATGATCAGCATCAAATGTCGAATACTTGCATAACAGTTTGGTTTTGGGCTTTATCTACATCTACAGGCTAATTGCCTGTTGGAGCAGTGATGTCTTACTCGAACAGCAGAAACAGCAGGCAATAGGAGGTAGATTTCGAGCACTTTTGTATATGGTGGGTTTTAAAGTAGTACAAATTTTGACGTACCGTGTTTTAAAGTCATTACATTCCATTCCTTCCTCAATAGGGAAGAAACAATTTGGTTGTCCACATTTACAAATAGAGGCGATCATTTTGAAAAGATATAAGGGAAAAAATAAACAAAATACAGAAGATAATCACTGGTGTGGTTATCGGCTAAAAAGACTAACATAAAACGAATCTGAAGAAAAAATTAAACCTTAACTGAAATAATTCAGTTTGCGATCGACCAGGTATGCTTGTGATGCGATAAATGCACGAAAGCAAAATTATTTCAGTTTCAGTTTGGAAAGGACAGGAGGCTTGATGGCTTGTTTTAGTCCTGGTAATGATGGTCTCTCAGCTGATCCAACTTTCTTTTGAAGGAGTCGACGGATGGAGCCTCAACAACGTGATGAGGTAATGAATTCCACTCGTTGATGATTCGATGGGAAAGTCGGTAGTCAGCTGACAAGTAATTCGTTCTGGGCTTGTGAACTTTTTTGGAGTGTCCTCGTACATTTTCTGTTTTGGAAGACAAGAAAAATGAAGGCATATCATGTGCGAATTTGTCATTAAGCAATTTGAAAACTGTAATCAAGTCGCCTTTGATTCTTCTATATGACAGCCGGAATAGGTTCGCTATTCGGGAAATCATATTATTTGCTGTTCTCTGAACCCTTTACAAGAGTTCACTGTCTTTTTCTAGACAGGGGTTAGCTGCTTGTATGTAGTACTCACGTTTAGGACGTACGAACATTGTATACCAAGTCAGAATTGTTTTAGCGTCGAGATGCCTAAAAGCCCTGCGTATGAACTATGAGGTTCTAAAGCCTTTGGCGGCTATTGCACGGCAGTGTGCAGTAGTCTTTAAGTCTTGACTAACGATGACGCCTAAGTCATTGTGTGTATGGACAATAGGTAACTCAGTGTTATTCATCGTGTATGTATCTGTACCCTGGTGGCCAATATGCATCACAATACACTTGGAAGTGTTTATCGGCAATTGCCAGGTTTGGGACCATTCAGATAATCTCTCCAGGTCATTTTGGAGTTCTAAGCTGTCGCCCTTGTTTTGTATCGCTCTCCATATCTTGACATTGTCAGCATAGAGTAAGACCGATGACGATAGTAGACGAGGGAGGTCATTTACTTACAGGAGGAACAACCTTCCCCCCAAAACTGTACCCTGGGGGACTCCACTAAGCACAGTTTCCCAGCTAGACAACTTGGAGTTCATCCTTACTCTTTGTTGACGCCCAACTAGGAAGTCTTTTATCCACATCAATAGATTGCCTCTAATCCCGACATTCCTTAGCTTATATAACAGCCGGTTATGCGGAACTTCGTCGAAAGCTTTGCTGAAATCGATGTATGCTACGTCTATAGGTAATTTTTGGTCCTTAAGAGCGCACCAGCTTTCACGAGCGACTGATAAGTTTGAGACAGGAGTAACCTGTTCTAAAACCATGCTGCTTTTTGGAGAGCATCCGGTTTTCATCGAGATACTTTAACAGCTCCTTCCGAATAATCTTTTCTAAGATTTTAACAACCACACAAGTTAGGCTAATTGGTCGGTAATTCTCAGGCTTATGTTTTGTACCTGTTTTGAAGACTGTACATACTATGGCGTTCTTCCAGTCTTTTGGTAGACAAATCTGGGTTACGGATAGATTAAAACATACACTTAAAGGGTTTGCAAAAAAATTAGCTAATTCCTTTAGTAACCTAGGATACAGTTCATCGGGTCCAGTGGATTTACCTATGTCAAGCTTAACTAGCAGACCAAGGACATCGAGTGCTTTAATGGTCACGCTGTCCAGTGCTTGTGTGAGGGGATTTTCATGGACTGGTGAGAAGGGTGTTTCTATGGTTTATACATTGCTAAAGTATTTAGAGAATACTTGAGCTTTGCCAAAGTCGTCCTTCATTAAAAATCTTCAAACTCTTAATGTATATGGTTAATTCAAGAATTTTCGAATTCTATCGCGCATTAAACAAGATGAATTTTTGAGAGTGTTTTTCTCTTCTGAAGTTTCCTCAGCTGTAAAGCGCCAATTTCGCGGAGGTTGTCTATTGCATAAGCATGGGGGCTTATATGTCTAAACCGAAAACAGAGAAAATCTCTGATGATGGGGCGAATCAGTGGTTATCTTATAGCTCCTGCTCTATGCAGGGTTGGAGAATGCATCAGGAGGTATGCAATTCAAATGAATCACCGTAATCCTTAACTTAGACATTTCATGTTTTGTAATTACGAAACATTTATATGTTAACTTCTAAATTTTGATTCTCTCAACCATCCGTGTATTGCCTGAGGCCTTCTACATTTTTATTAGTGTTGTATTTTGCTTAGGATATGACACGTTTCACCTACAAATGTGTTTTCGACTTTATGCTATGATGACCTCCATTATTTAGTGTCTCCGGATGTATTTAACCTTTTAAAAGTATGGGTGCTTCACAGGTGACCTTCTAATGACTTGTCGCATGCTTAACACTTCAGTACATCGCCTTAAATATCTACTTCAGTCCAGTCCTAACACAAATCTTATGGTTAACACCCAGAGATTAAAGACAGTATTGCAGAATGGACTGTAGACTCACGTCTTACTGTTCATGAATGGTCAAAATCTGAAATTCGATACCGGATGAGGTAGTCGAAATGGATTTCTAGCAGTTCTTTAGAAGAAAATTTGACATTTTTGAGGACTCAGGACAGTACCTCACTACAATTTATCAATATTTTCCCTTATTATTAAGTATACCAAGATTCCTACGTGGAGGCTTCGGTGATCCACTTTTGCTAGATACAAAAGCCAGTTAAGTGAAAGCTATTCTGTCCAGAGTCAATTGGATTTGAATCTTTCACCTTACGGCAAGTTCAGCTTACGTCAATGTTATTTTTATTTTATTCGGATATAAATATTGGTACGAAGGGGTACCAGATATATGTGTGAGAGCTGTAATGCTACCCAGGTACCCAAACAGAAGCAGGTGGTTTTCTAAAGGGGCCACACCCGGAGTCTTTGACTTAAAGGTTTGATCCACAATGTAGTGGAGCATCGTGAGGAGATGCAGTCCCACGGTAGCCGGTGACCAACGATTGATTCATACTCCATTTGATCACTCAGGATACGGGTGCTCATGTGCACCACTGGTTTGGAATCAGGGTTTTCCAACTCCCCTAGGCGGATTTTCCATGTCCACCAACCCGGTGCCCGACCGTTGCTGCTACCTTGACGTGGTGGTCGGGCTTGCCTATCGTGATGATCCAATCGAGCTATGCTGGCTGGAACAATCGTTCCTCAAGGTCCTACCATGCCAGACAGGTCGATTGAAGAGCGGTGAGACTAAAAGCAGCAAACCCAAGGTCCGAAGGCGAAGTCGTACTGCTGACTGTACAGAGGTGTGTTAGCAGTAAGGTGTTTCCTTCAGACAACCAGCATGACAGCGATGCTGCCTTCCCACAAGGAGGGGTGGGGTTAGAAAAGGTCGACCCTAAAAATGCACACCTCGCCTTATCCCACGGATTTCCGTCTCCGGCGGTAAGGACTTTTGAAGAACGGAGCTAACACGTCAAAAATCCCCCACAAAAAGGCCGTGCGTGACCGGCCTCAAGCAGATGTCCCTTGGGCACTGCGGTCACGCACCCAGGTCGTTAAGACCAACACTAATCCAACTTCTTTTTCAGGTCCCTCAAGAAATACCCTTCCACGGTGTGGGCAGCCGGGAAGTGATACTAGCCCTCATACCCTTAACTGCACACAAGACCAAGTTGGTCGCTTTCAAATCCTTCCTACACCTCCTAATAACTCTGTTATCTTCACGACTAACCCTTCCCACGTCCTTTTATCACCTCGCACCGCTAGGGCAAACGATTCGAGTACACAGAACGTTAATCCTGGTCTCCTGAAACCACGCTCTAAACTACATATAGGAACTTTTAATGTCCGAACATTATGCCAAATAGGACAACAGGCTTCCTTAGCTAGGACTCTAGAATCTTACACCATCGATGTGTGCTGCGTCTCCGAAACGCGCATACAAGATCCGAGTAGTGTCATTCATTTGACCTCACCTAATCAAAATAAAGTTTCATCTCGATACACGCTTCGTGTATCTGGAAGCCCTGACGCTGCTTCCCGTGGCCTCGCTGGAGTAGGTATAGCATTAAGTCCTAGGGCAGAACTAGCTCTTTTAGACTGGATCCCAGTAGACAGTCGTCTATTCGCTGTCCGACTAAACGGATCAGTAAGGACCCGGAAAGATAGGGAAACTCGTCGTTGCCTCTTCGTCGTCTCTGCCTACTCTCCCACTGACTGCAGCTCAGACGATATAAAAGATGAGTTTTACAGAAAACTTTCTGACCTTCTCCGAGAAGCTAGGCGTTCTGATGTAGTAATAGTAGCAGGTGACTTTAATGCTCAACTAAACTAAGTGAAAGGGAAAGACACCTGGGTGGATCTTATGGTGTCATGGCGAAAAGAACAGATAATGGCGACCGTCTGTTGCAGCTGTGCTCAGATAACCGCCTATTTCTTGCAAATACTAACTTTAAGCATAAGGAAAAACATCTTTTGACATGGCGACCCCCGGATTCGTCCAAACGTTGGACCCAATTAGATCACATCGCTATCAGCCACCGATGGAGGGGCTCGATTGAAGACTGTCGCTCATTATGGGGCACATGTTTAGATTCAGATCATGCTCTAGTGCGAGCACGTATCTGTCTGCGTCTAACTGGTCGTAGGAAAGACACTGCAGGGAAGCCTCTAAGGGTTCTACTTAATGATAGGCAAGCTAAGAATATATATCAGGAACAACTAGAAAAACAGTTAGGCAGCCATGTAAGTTGTGTCCACCCCGAGGCAGCGTGGAATGACATCCGAAAAGCTGTGGAAACAGCAGTGATGTCCGCTAGTAAGGTAAACCATAACGTTAGGGAGAAACAATGGATCTCGGCAGCATCTTCCGCACTGATAGATGCTCGTAAACTCATCCCACCTGGCTCTGAGCATAACGAAGAGCGGAGTCAACTTAAGCGCAGGCTTATAAGAAGCCTACGTAATGATTGTGAACAGTGGTGGGTAGCAAAAGCAAGAGAGATGGAAAAGGCAGCGGCAATAGGTAACAGTAGGCAGCTATTCAGACTCTTTAAAGAAACCGGCATTAGGAACCCGAATATCAGTGAAACCATCTCAGATAGAGATGGGCATATTATTCATTCTCAATCCAGGAGATTGGATCGATGGGCAGAACACTTTAGGGATCAGTTCAACTGGCCTTCAGCCACGCTTCAATTACCCACGATCCCCAGTCGTCCTGAATGGCAAATTGATTTAAGTCCTCCAACCCTCTGTGAGGTTGAAAAAGCTATAGGAAATCTGAAGCGAGGGAGAGCAGCAGGCCCTGACAGGTTGACCCCTGAGATTTTTAAGGATGGTGGTCCAGTACTAGCAGTGAGATTGACTGATGTTTTAGGTAGAATCTGGGAACTGGACGTAATTCCATCTGACTGGTCCCAATCACTGATTGTGCCAGTCTATAAGAAAGAACAAAAGTCCTCCTGTGACAATCACAGAGGGATCAGTTTGACTAATATAGTGTCTAAAATATTAGCTTCAATAATACTAGGTCGCCTAACCAAAGCTGGTGAAGAGGAGACTAGAGAAAACCAAGCTGGTTTTCGACCTGGACGTGGTTGCATAGACCAGATATTCACCCTACGTCAGGTCCTAGAACATAGACACAAATTCAGACGTCCCACAATAGTAGTGTTTCTTGACCTTAAGGCGGCATTTGACTCCGTTGATCGTGAGGTTCTATGGCAGTGTTTGTCACTGAAAGGAGTACCAAAGAAGTACATTAACCTCATAAAGGCTATCTACTCGAACACAACTGGTCGAGTTAGAGCCTATGGCGAACTGTCATCAGAACTGATTACCACAAGTGGCGTTCGTCAGGGCTGTCCACTCTCCCCATTCTTGTTTAACTTTGTCATTGACATACTTTTAGAGATAGCACTTTCATCAGCTAAACCTCCAGGAGTTGAACTTTTACCAGGAGGCTCACTTGTTGACTTAGAATACGCCGACGACATAGTTTTATTCGGTGAAGACGCTGACAAAATGCAGAGTCTTCTGACCACCATAAGCAACAATGCAGGCATGTTCGGGATGCGATTCTCTCCCTCCAAGTGCAAAATGTTACTTCAGGATTGGGTTGCAGCGACACCTGAACTAATGATAGAGAGTGAAGTAGTTGAGCGTGTAGACCACTTCACTTATCTTGGGAGTCTCATCAGCCCTTGTGGTCTGGTGTTTGACGAAATCTCAGCACGGATACAGAAGGCTCGACTAGCTTTCGCCAACTTGCATCATTTGTGGCGTAGGCGAGATATCCGTCTAGCAACCATAGGACGGGTTTACTGTGCAGCAGTTCGCTCCGTCCTACTTTATGGAAGTGAAACATGGCCGGTAAGAGTAGAGGATATTCGTAGGCTACTAGTGTTCGATCATAGGTGTCTTCGAAGCATTGCTCGTATATCCTGGGACCACCGAGTAAGTAATGCAGTTGTTAGGAAACGAGTACTAGGTAGGGATGGCAAATCGATTGATGAAGTAGTGAAACTTCATCAGTTGAGATGGCTGGGACATGTGTTACGTATGCCCAACCACCGACTGCCCCGACGTGCAATGTTCCATGGTGTAGGAGTAGGTTGGAAGAAAGCTAGGGGTGGCCAGACCAAAACGTGGCACAAATCAATGAAGTCACTGACAAGTGGACTGGGCCATGTTGGTAAGTGTAGACTACCTGGTTGGGATTCGCGAGATGATAGCAACCGATGGTTAGAGACCTTGAATGACATGGCTCAAAATCGTTTGCAATGGCGAAGGTGCATCCACTCTTTGTGTTCTACCAAATTCTAATCTTCTGAATTTCTCATGTCTTTATGTTTTTCTCTTTCCAAATATATTTCACTGTACTATACTCCTTCAATAATTTCTTCTAACCCTAATCTTTTGGATTTCTGATTATACTCTTACTACTTCTTCCACTATGGGATTTGAATCGACAACTGCACCTGTGTGCTAATGTGGTATGGCAACTCGAACTGATGTACGTACGTACGTATGAAGTTCTACGTTGTGACTGACTGACTGACCAACCCGGTTAGAGCGCCGGACATTCACT